GTCAATTGTCTTTATTTTTAAATTGTATAAAATAATGTTTAAGCATTTTGATCTAAATACTTTAAAACTCAAATAAAAGTAATAAAACAACAATCATTAGTAACTATATCACGCATGGAAGACCAGAACAGTTAATACTCCAGTCGTCAGAGACGAAAATCCCCCTAAAACGGCCCCTCCTAAAGGGAGAAAATGGAAAAAATTCAATTTGCCGAGAATCTGTATGCCATACAAAAATATATTTTAAATAAGAATGTAGCTGAGAAAATTTTAAACTAAAATGTATATTACCATTTTTTGTGTAGAACAAACCGTTCTCTCAGAAACAACGCTTGAAACAACTAGCGATTTATATAGTCCCTTGAATCAGGCGCGCGAAATAAATTTTAAGTCAAGCTTTTGCATGTAATTTTTGTATTTTACCAAAAATGAAATCCGTTTTTATAGGGGTGTTATGAAAAAAACATTGCACAATTGTTGCTATTTTTGACTTTGAAGACATTTATGACTTTCATTAATTGGTCGTAGTGGAATTTCAATTTTTAGAACTTAAACTATAAACATATGACATGATATTTTGATTTTTGACAATAAAAAGGGCACTTAAGTCCGGGAGAGATGGCACGTCGGGTGAGATGACTCAATCAAATACTTATATCACAAATTTATCATATTTGGCGTCAGTAGCATTGCGTTATTTAATGCACACGTATGGTATTAGCAAGATTCTGTTATTTTCGTGAATTTCCTAATGTTGTACGGTAAGTTATTTAGAAATTCTTATTTACATCTTCTTAAAACTTTTTGCGGTAATCATCAAAACTATTGTGCACTTATTTTTGTCACTATTTTAATGAAGTCGCGTTTTGAAGGCATGTTGTGTGTATCGTTGAGGTTATTTATGCATAGTTGACATTTCTTTCGAGCGTTCCTAGTTCCTAGCGTTCCTAAAAAATGTTAGGGAGAGATGGCCTAGCTCCTTAGTTACTTATAAAAGGATATTTTTAATAGATACATTAATTTTCAGCCATGCCAACGCAATATAAAAGAAAATGAAATTGCCAACGTGGTTTATGGACTGAAAATTAACTCGAATCAGCCATACATGCCGTAAGAAATGAAGAAAGGGACGTCAATGTAGCCGCCAAGAATTTTGAAGTGCCAGTACCTATATTAAAAAGAAGAATGAAAATTAACAATTTAAGAATAAGTGCATTAGAAGTAAATAGTATTCTCGGCGAAGAAAATGAAAATAAAATAAAGAAACATATCACAAAGTTGCAAAAAGTTAGTTTTGCACCTACAAGAGCTAAAGTTAGAGAAAACTGGATTAGCGAAAGAGAATTACTTTTTACAAGGAAAAAACTTGCAGGTTTGGACTGGACTGAATCATTTTTAAGAAGAAACCCTGACTAGAGTACAAGAAAATCGGAAGGCAATTAGCAAAAAGTCAAGGCATGAACAAAAAGGATGTAATTACTTTGATCAGAGAGAGAAAGTTATTCTAGAAAATAAGTTGATGAAGAAGATGGACGAAACCTGCATTTGTTGTAGTCTAAAAGCAATCTAAAAAAGTAGCATGAGTAACTTCTTCGAAAAAGAAGGTAACAATTACGTGTAGCACCTGTTGCAGTGCTGAGGGTAACTTCCTTACCCGACCAGCATATTCAAAGTAAAAAATAAAACACAAAAATTCTAAGATGGCATGCCCCCAGGATCATGCTGTCATTCATTTACAAAAATGAAAAGTCCGCTTACATAAACACCGACATATTTATTAATTGTTTAACACATCACTTTTTTCCTAGAACGTCCTCAGGAATAGTCTTACCGGTTTTAGATGGTCATACATGTCATTATATCTCCGTTTAAATGTTAGAGTACGCAGATGAAAATGAGATCATTCTACTATGTTCACCGAGCCAAGCCACACAGTTTTTTTTTTGCAACCGTTAGATCCTTCATTTTCAGTCGCTAAAGTCACATTAATACAATTCTTGCAATTAATTTGTTAAAATGAATCTTACAAAGAAAAATTAACCGCTTGCAGTTCGGAAAATTATTAAATGAGGCTTGGACAAAAGCTGTCTGAGTTTTCGCGCATATGCTACTTATCCAGTCGACCGAAATACAATACCAGAGTACGCCTTTCTTGAGAGTTCAACAACACAAATTACTGAAATAGATGATCTTCCACCTTTAAACCTACCAGCTACAAGCACTTCGACGATATCTCACAGGTCACCATTAAAACTATCAACCATAACTGGTAATAAGCCGATCTTTAGAGAAAAAATCACTCTCGGTAAAATTTAAGATAATCTCTCCAGTACCTTCTACATAAGGTATTTCACAAGTAAGTAAACGCGGTAGACAATCGGCTGCAGTACTTACTAGCACAGTGAATTTGGCGATACGCAAATATTTAGATGTTAAAAAGAAAGAAAATGATGTTAAAAAGAATAAAGGTCCTCTGGAAAAAAGTCAAGAAACCTAAGAACCTCAAGAAGATTTTTAGTGAGTAATCTTGAGTCAAATAAAAATTACCAAAGACTCTAGTAATAATCTACAAGATGAAGTAAATTGTAAATGTGCAGGCTGTGGGGAAATATATTTAACCACATCGAAACAAGAAGACTGGATACAGTGCGTACATTGCAATTCTTGGTTTCATGAAAACTGCTCAAAATATGTTAGTTTATGTGATATATGCAGAAAAGTATTGGAAAAAAATAAAAATAAAGTGCCAAATAAAGTTTATGATCGAGCCATATCACTTATATTGTCCGAGTCATCTCACCCTGACACATCGGGTGAGTTGGCCTTTTGCAGTTTTTTGTATTTTGATGTTTACTGTTTTTGTCTGTGAGTATTTGCCTTACCCAACTCTGGAGCATGTATAAATCCCTTATAACCATCGAATATTCTAAGTATAAAATTTATCTGGTACGTTCCTGGGCTATGTTTAAAATTTCGTGTGTCTTTGTTTATATCTCACATTCCACAAGAAGTAATAAAAATATGGTTATATGGTCAGTTACAATACGATGTGAAGCGCGTTTAAAAATAATTTCCGTTGACCAGTCTCTTGGATTAATATGAGGAGTGAGACGCGAAAGAGGAAGCCGGGACGAGAAGCCAGGTCAAAGTAAATTCAAGTTTTAAGTTTGGGAGAATCTTCGAAGAGACAACACGCGGCGAGTGTCGGCGTTAAGAACTGGCAAATTATTTGTGAAAAAGTGATTTATTCTCAAACGCTGTTTTTCAATAAATTTGAAAGATACATACATGTTCCATTGTTGAGTTTTTAAGAAGCCGAGCGTCAAAGTTTGCGTCCCAGTGAACTGCTTCCATCCTCATTTTGTTTGTCCTTGGTTGTCATGCCAGGCTATTTCGCAGTTTGGAGATGCATTTGTTTGTGTGTCAGAGAATCTAAATCCAGTTCTAACCACAGAAATTTTTAAAGAAATAAAATTATAATCATTTCTTATAGTATCTCCAACTTCTAGAGTTTGTAAACGAGATAGAACATAGTAAGTGTGTTTTTTTGTTATTTTGTATTAATTTTTGGAACTATTTATATAGTATTTTTTACTATTTATAGTTGTAACTGTTTGTGGTGAGATAACAATAAATGTTTAATATTTTTTCCTAAATCAAGTTATTTTTTTTTTAACTATTTTTCGAACAACTTTTTATATTTTTTAGGAAGGAAGAGGCTTTCTTTCATTCAGCAGGAAGATTCTCCTAAGCGGCGTCCATTTTAAATAGCTTGAGAATCTTCTTGTACTGTGTTTGTCTAGGAGATTTATGTAAGTATCCTTTTGCTTTACTTTTTGTAGTTGTCCCAATCCAATTTCATTATTTCTTTCACTTATCCATGATCTAGCTCTCCAAATAAACCCTGAGTAGCCGTCCGCAAACGTTCCGGTTTATTTTGCTTACCCTATCTCTACCTCAATAATTTCTGTCCCCAATTTTCAACCCCTTATAGTAATACCCTATGTGGTAGGCAAAATAATCGTTGCAACTCTGTACATTTTCTTTTAAATGTTATTTTAATATAAATAAATAAATGTTTCAGGATGTAGACTTTTTTGTGCTATGATTCAGACAGTCAAAAAAACGTAATCTCTCTCGAACTTACCCTATGAGGAATTTGAAATATGCCTAAAAACGCTAAATTTACCAAGCGATCTAAAATGTTTAAAACTGCTTCTTTTTGATTGCATAAGTATGTTTTTCAAAACTACATAGCTTCAGCTACACATTCCAGTCAATAACGTCCTCGTTGAGGCATTTCCTGTGACGTGCGATCTCTGTACTCTAAAAGTTTAAATTATGCGTTTTAGGCATGTTTCAAATGCCTCATATTTACTGCCAAATATCGAAATCAAAATTTCATGTTATAGTTTTTAAAGCTTCGGCTCTAACATGAAATGCATATGACCAGTAATAAAGTGAAATTTTATAAATCTCATGAGAATCGTGAAAAATGGACAAAATCGCGCAAAGTTTAATTTACACTAATAAACTAACGTTATTTGCGGCAAAATTTCTGAAGCTCTCTCTACCTATAAAACGTATTTTGATTTTTGTCGATAGAACACTTTTATCAAAAGATATCGAATTTTTACCGTCGAGTTGATACAAATTTTATTTAGAATTGATTTCGCGCTAGTAACTGACATTCAAAATCACGCGCTCTAATTCTACACAAAGAATGGTAGTAGACATTTTTATTCAAAATTATGACGGCTACATTTTTTATTTAAAACATTTTCGACGACATACAGATTCATCGATTTTTTTTTCGTTTTTCTCCATCTACGAGGGGGCGTTTTAGGGGGAAGCCGAGTGTAAAAGTGGTAATTTTTTTTGCAGGTTTTTGGGGTCCCAAAATTAATATTCTCAGTAAAATTCTGAGAATATTAATCAATCTCTAACGACTGAACTATAAATTTCAATAAACTTTAATTTACATTATTATTTTTTTCGTTTTACACATTATCCATTAACTTTTCTTCTTGACTATTTTCTGAAGTTCTAATAATATCTTTTTTACTAGCTTTAGTAACGGTTTTGTTTCGCTTCGGCTTCTTCTTTTTTGATAAAATATATATACTATTATCTACAAAATAGTCGTTTATCTCTGTTAATTTCTTTTTATGCGTTTCAGGCATAAATATGTATGTATAGAGACTGGCTAATACTGATACTACTGCAAAAAACCATTGTATGCCAGCATATCCACGGCAAATAGATATGAGTCCATAAAAACTCTGAATCGACGCAAACATCATCAGGTTCGCTACGCTATAGGCTGCACTGTTAGCGACTCCTCTAATCTCGATAGGAAATAATTCGCTCATCATCATCCAAGGTATCGTTAGCATGCCGATCATGGAAGTAGCAACATACAGGAGCATAAATGCTACTGGTAAGTAGGCGTGATTTGAAGCTCCTAAAACAAAAGTGAAAAACTATTTAAATAATTTATGCAATAAAGTAGAGTCAATGTTCACTCAATATGAAGTAAACAACCCAAATCACACTCTCTACCATGCCAATAAAATATTGCAATTTCCGTAGATCTGTCACTTGTGTAAGTATACACAAATTATCATTTGAGACTCTTTGATATAGTAGCTGACAGTTCTCTACACCACCCGTTAATAAAGAAGAGTAAACTTATATAGCTGTAAGACTTTGGGTACAATATACAGATTGAACCAAATTAAAACGGAACATACAATTTAATACATGTCTGTTTGAACTGCATTTAAAAGTGGACCAATATAAAACTTGGACAAAAATAAATCCATACCTGGGTATAGACATTGTATAAAATATCGTTCAACTATCTGTCTCGCAACAAAGTTGTTTGCGTAAGACGGGTTTGTCTAAGGAGGTGATAATAGTTCAGGAATTGAAGCTCGAAAAAAGTTAAAACCTCGCAATTTTTTCGTCCTGCATGTATCCAGTTGAAATTTTAGCAGAAGGTAGGTAATAGCCCAAGGATCAAAATCTATATCGAACCGAAGTGCGCTGAAGGGTTTTAGGGGTGAAAACTACCCCTAATTGTCAAAAATTATAAAATAACATATTAAACCTGAATATGGGTAAGATTTGGTTTGAATTAATTAAATAATGATTATTTTATACTTTTGAATAGAGTTCCATCATATTTCAACCCTTAAAAAGCAACTCTTGTTAGAGATTAATGTAAAAAATTACTAATTCTAAAAAAATGATTTCGCCTTGTATCGATTTGGATAAAAATTTGGATTTAAGCTCAATTCACCCGCTGCTTTATAGTTTATGTCATGTCGACGAACCCTGATTGTTCTTAGGGGTGAAAACTACCCCTAATTGTCAAAAATTATAAAATAACATATTAAACCTGAATATGGGTAAAATTTGGTTTGAATTAATTAAATAATGATAGTTTCGTGCTTTTCAATAAAGTTCCATCATATTTCAACCCTTAATAAGCGACCCTCATTAGAGATTAATATAAAAAAATTTAATAATGCGAAGAAAATGATTTCAAATTGAAACGACTTGCATAAAAATTTGGAATTAAGCTCAACTCACCCTCTGCTTTATAGTTTATGTCATGCCGATGAACCCTGATTGTTCTTAGGGGTGAAAACTACCCCTAATTTTCAAAAATTGTAAAATAATATTACAAATCCTAAGATGAGTGAAATTTGGTTTGGATTAGTTAAATAGTGAGTTTTTTATACTTTAAAATACAAATTCATACATTTTCAACCCTTAAAAATCAATTCAAATGAGTGCTATAGGTGAAAACAATTTTTTGCCAAAATTTTGCAACTTTTCAACTTTTGAAAATCACCCTTTACAACATTGAAGTTTTTATAAACTAATTTATAAGATATAAATTGAAAAAAGTAGAATTAAATACAAAAAAAATTATCAACATAAAAAGGCACCATATATTCTTATACATTTACATAAATAGTTGAAAATATTTACATTTATATGTAAAACAATTATAATATTAATTTTATTCGTCATCAATTACATCTTCATCGTGATCTATTTCATCATCATCTTCCTCAATTATTGGTGGACTGTTATTGCACCCTTCACCTGAGCACCCAGAACAAGTAGAGTTACAGTATAAACCAACTTTTCTGCACCCATATGAAACGCCGCATCCTTTTTTGCATTGGCAAAAAATAATTTTCAAAAATTTATCGGGTGCAGGTTGTTTGTTCATGAGTACGGGTAATAACAAACCATCTTTGGAAAACCATCCCCAATCTGTTGCTCTGATATTTTCATTGCCAAGCCATAGACATATGAGCAGATGTTTTATTCTGTTGTATGGGATTTCAAAATAAGAACGCTTAAAATTTCGAATGTATAACGCCCCACTAGCTAATATACCGGTTTTGTAGATTATTATGCTCCGAAATGTACTGTACTATACTAATGAAATTTTCCGGAAAAAAATTAACTGGTTTTTTTAACGTATTTCCTTTAATTTTTAATGATAGATGTTTCTTCAAAAACGATTTGTAGAGGTTTTTAATAGCTACAAGGATCTGTGAATTAAATCTTTTTGGAACCCTTGGTTTTTAAATGGGGTCAGTTTAAAGGGCTCGAAAAAGATGGTGCTTAATCGTAAATCGATGCTTTAAACGGCTATATCTCGCCAAATATTCATTGTACAACAAATCTAAATAAAGGATAATTTTAGTCATTAAAAAAGCTACAATTTGGTAATTTTTATTTTTTTCATATATTCAGTATTTTCGGGCATATTTAAAAAAAGAAGGGTAAAAAATATGAAATTGTAAATCGTTTCTCGCTTTAAGCTGTACTTTTTCTTAAACTAAGCATTTTAAATGGGTCAAACTTCTTGGACGTATTAACCATACATCTACAAAGGGAATTGCAGAAGGGTGAAGATCGATTTTAATTATGGGGATGGTTAGGGTGTTGTTTTCCTCGATTTTTTCGTAAAAAATGAGGTATTGACCTTATTTTTTTATGATAGGTCTATTTATGCTCTTTAAAAAAGGTTTTGTGAGTTTTCTTCCAAAAATGCATCATTTTCCCGATATTTGACTTTGAATCTTTCAAATTTGGCATTTGAAGAAAACCGCTGAACATTGATATTGTATTTGTAATTGTATTTGTCTTTTTAAAAGCTACAAATTTGTTCTCTACAATTTTTTTGATAAAATGCACCATTTTCGAGTTATTCGCGAAAGATCGATTAAAAACGTGGATTTTTTCGTCTAAAAGTTGTTACTTTCAATCGCGAATAACTTGAAAAATATCATTTTATAAAAAAAATGTATAGCACATTTTTTGTTTAGAATCACTTTTCTAATCGAAACCTGTAGTTAAAACGTAAAAAAAATTTTCACCCCGGAGATGGGGTGGCAACCACCCCCTAGGCTTTGGCGCACTTTGGTTCGATATAGATTTTGATCCTTAGGCTATTACCTACCTTCTGTTAAATTTCAAGTCAATCCACGCCGCACGAAAAAATTGCGAGGTGAAATGCTACATTTCCTGGACTATAACTGGTTTGACAGCATAATCGTAGATTTATGTGTAGCTTTCAATTTTTATGAGTTCAGAATCCAGCAGTCCGCTGAAGTATGGGATTTTTTATAATATAATTATTTGACAATCTTTTGTTGGCCAACCAGCTACAGCAGAATTGAGCCGAAATACATTATATTCCTATGTTCCGAATTTATTTCGTTCAATCTGTATAAAAATAATAATAACTGAACTTACCAGATTTAATCCAATAGGTGGAAAATCCAGAGCACGTCATACATATGGCCATGCTTAGACCACTCACCATCAAGAGGAATCGTCTATTGAATTTTTTAAGTAAGTAAGAATTTACAAAAGCCAATACCATCCTTAAAAAACAAAGTAGAGTGGAGGCAAAATATGGATTGATGTTACTTCCCATTTCCTAAAACACAGGACAAAAAATGTAATCTATTTTTCTGTTATTATAATTATATATTAGAGAAGATCGTAGTGCAAATATAGGCAGAGAGGATATGTACATGGATTAAACCAGAAATTATAGTAACAAATAACAATATAAGGAGATTAGTAAGTTATGTCGCTGAAAGACACATGTTTCTACGAAATACACAATTAAGAAGAGAAGTTATTTATAAAGGTACCTACACGGTTATTCGCGTACAAAAAAAATCAACCGGATTGATTGAGGCTGAAACAGGCTTGGAGCGCAAGTCAACTGTTTTGTTCCTTGAAGCCGTCTGTTGTAAATGTAAACTGGTCGTACTGCAGTCAGTTGGTTTCTTATCCAGGATTCATTCAATAATTCATTCAATCCAGGATTCTGGGACCCCGTTTCAGCTTGTACAGGTCTAGTGGGTACTATATGTTTTTGGAGTAACTTGGTGTAGTCTTTAAAAAGTGTTTGATGTCTGAGACCTCGCAGCTATGCAAGATATAGTTGACTGTTTCAGGTTCTCTGCCACAAGTCTGTATGAAACAGTCCAATTATTTACAGATGTCCCATGAGTGGTGCATGTCCAGTGTTATGACTTTGAGCTAATTTTTGCAAGAGGACTTTTTGACCAAAAATATTTGTACAATATTTATAACTTAATTAGGTAATATAAAAATAATGACCTGCGACATAATAGCGTACGAAAATATTTGTACTAGGAATAGGGAAAATTTTTTACTTTCGGAAAACTGTTTCCCAATTTTTGGCCATTTGACACAGTACGGCATTTATACACAAAGTTTCGGATCGGTACATCGATCGGTATATTGATTAATTTTCTTTCAACGCCGTACATTTCGGCTGAAAAGGCTTAGAAACGTAAGGGGCAACCACAGTATATTGTTATAGAATTCTTTGAGAATTAAACTGTGGTGCTACCCTTAATTGGAACCTCTATCCTCGTTACTTACTGTGAAATTAGTAAATATTTTCTTTTTAATAAATGCACTCGACCTATCTCAAAATGTACTCAAACTATTACGATAGTTAGTATCGACGGTTAACTCTGTTGTACGGCATCAGTGTTTGCGGTAAAAAAATTTTAGGTTGGGTAATTCATACAATAATAAAAATACCAACACAGCTTCGTCAGACGACTCCATGATAAAATTACCACAACACTGACCGTACCTCACCTAGCCGCGTCCGAAGGATTGCACATGCAGTGCATCAGCTTCCGATTGTCTTTGAACCAGATAGATTTACCGGCTAACAACGAGATAGAACGCGCCGGCCATAAATAGACAGTTTTGCCCTATCACAACAATCGTAAACAACCACAAATATTGAGAAGAAAGAAGGTATTCCATATTGTGTTGATTTTCGCCTTTATATTTTGTCTTTTTCTATTTCTATTTCTCTTCGCCTATGAAGAACAGCGTAGTATTGTAGTATTGATTTATATGTGATTCATGTTGGATCAAATGACCTCCAAAAAATGTCTCATGGGTTTGTAGTCTATAAAATATGGTAAATAATATCAGATGGTAAAATATCATACAGACTAAAAACTAAAAAAAGAATACTCGAGTGAAAAATATGCTTATAATATAAACCAATATATTGACCTATAAAAACTGGTCTCGGCAAATTTAAAATTATTTAAGTTAAAAAAGAACTATTTAATTTACCTCTAAAAATGTTACAGAGTAAAATAGTGTGATGTATATGCCTGAAAACATCTGGAAGAAATACATGCCAGTAAGCAGTAACATCGGTTTGTATCCTGTAGGTTTAAGGAACTCTTTCAGAATGCGTATGGGTCCCAAGTTATCTCTCCTTGCTTGGGCTTCTAGTTTTTTCTGATGTTCTTTCTGAAGGAACTGCAGATGTAGTTCAGCTAAAGTCTCACTCTGCAAATGAAAACAGATTATCCAGTATGTATCAAGTAACTTTATGAGTTTGAATTTGTATCAGCCCGAGTGTCTGATGAAGCAAGGATGCTGAAATGAGTCATAACATTCTATTGATACCAATTCGAGCACGGGAAGTTTAACGAATTTGTTCTCCTAGGCCATATATTTGAGCATTTAATTCAACAAATCGATAGCAGCTTTTGCCAAAAGTCTTAATTTTTTACACATTTCGTGTAGTCCAGAGGATAGAAAACGATATTAAATTGTTTTTATTCATGGCCACCAAAGCAGATGGCACCTCTGTATGCTAACCACTGCAGTAGTCAAGTTTTAGGAGACATTCGTTGGACTTTCTGAGTTCGGTAAAATTACAGGAAAGATTAAGGAGGTACATAAAAACAAATTATACGCTTACAGTCGCATAGCTGAATTCAGTGACATTAAGACAGTTGTGAGTTAACATATAAAGTGAATGAACGTATGAATAATCGCGACGCAAATAAACTATGAACAGACATAAAAGTGAGAAAAACTATAAACATACTTAAAAATGCCAGAATATAGATGAATAGATAGAAAATCATTTCTTTATGTAATCACTCATTTTTTTAAATTGTTGTAAAGCAATTTTAAAAATCTATCTAGCAATTTAAACTTTTAACATGTTTAAATAAAATTTAAACAATCTATATATATATATATATATATATATATATATATATATATATATATATTGTAAAAACCATTTTGTTATTAATATAATGTTTTTAAAATCTCTTATCAATTATTAACACTTTTTGGGGATTTCCAATAGAGCACATAAAAAATAGTATATGTTACAAGAGATTAGAGAGCATCTATTTAAATTAAACTAAAAGTAATGAACAAATCTTATTATTTTTATCTGTTTTTGATTTTTAAGTTGATTTTGTTAACGTACCCTGTTGTCAGGTTGAGGCTGATTCCTATTCAACCACTGCAAACTTTTTGCTGCCTCTGGAAATTTTCCTTTTGATACTAACCAAGGAGGACTTTCGGGAATAAAAAATAATAGAAACACTGGTAAAATACAGTATATGTTGCATAACCAAGCAGCCGTCCTCCAGTGCAAAAACCATCCTTTTAAGTAACTGAGAAGCATACCTAAAACAGTAAGTCGCGAAGTGGAGTGATTATTATATGCACTACATATTGCACTCTACAGATTATAAGCTTTTTGATTTTTTACTTTTTCTTTGTTTATAATTTAGTGTTTTTGTAACATTGCTTGTTTTATAACGTTTTTTATCTCTTAGCTTATTTTAATAAACTAGGTAAATCCTTTCGGCTAAAATACAATTTCAGGTCGACATCCAGTCGTTAAAGGGTCATTCAGAATTTTAAACCATCAATATTCAAAACGAGAAAACCTATTGTTAATACCTTTTTAGACAATAAGTATTTGTTTTATTGATTTTTTCTTTGATTTTGGTAACTAGATTATACTATCTACTAGACTATACTTCTTCTTAGAGTGCCGTCTCCGTACGGAGGTTGGCAATCATAATGGCTATTTTTATTTTAGAACTTGCTGCTCTAAACAAATTAATCGATCTGTATTGATACCAATCACGTAGATTCTTTAACCAACAGATCTTCTTCCTTGAATCTTTCCCTGTATTATGAGTCTCAAAATTTCATATTTTGGACCCTCATCACGTGGCCTAGGTATTCCAGTTTTCTGGTTTGTATAGTGGTGATAGATTCTGTTTATTTACCAACCCTCTCAGTACTTCTTTATTTGTAATTCATCAGTCCATGATATTTTGAATACTCCGCCATATAACTAGAGTTCAAAAGTCTCGATTCTTTTTAAATTGCATTTTTTTAATGTCCAAGTCTCAGCTCCATATAATAATATTGAAAATATATAACAGCGAATGGTACGTACTCTGATCTCCAAATTTAGATTTTTGCACGTTACGAGTGGCTTCATTCGTATATCTGAAAAATGCTGATCTCAGTCAATAACATATCGAAGATACATAATATATTTTGTTTCCAAGTGGCGGATAGGAAAACGGTTATAAATAGAGTCTCTGGCTATTGGAGCTTCAGAAGGGAAGAGAGAGGGTGAAATATCTTAAACCTTCTACTAAAACTCCGTCGTAAACCACCTTCTACAATTCCAAGTGAAGGTAATGCGTTGTGGAGTAGTGGTCGCTGGAGTAGTAGCGACTTTATCGTTCTTCTGGGAGCACCAGGCGACATGCGACGCCCCCTTGTAAGTAGTCTTATCTGGTCATGCGGGACTCTGGACGAGTTAACTTGTTATATCCCTAGCTACTTAAGGGACCTAAAATGATAGAAAACCATCAAAATCCAAAACTTTTTTTCAGGTGAGTGGCTCCCCAAGGGATCCACCACATCTTCACTAGCAGAAGAAGCTTCACTTTCTATAGGGTGGATTGCCCCTCATTATAGGTTCCACTCTACCATCTGAGAGCTACTGATGAGGATCTATGTTGTTGGTGCTGTTTCCACTGTACTATCAGAGTTAGATGTTTCCCCCATGAGCTCTTCGGCCACCTCTTCGGCACCTCCTCTTCGAAAGATTCTATTCCAGCTCCCTGTCCAGCTGAAACCACGCTACACTCCATCCGGGTCTTCAACCCGTTTATAGGGAGCTCCTCTTAAACGATCTGATCTCCGTACGTATATGTACCTACTGATTGCGTATATATTTTTTACTTAGTTATATACTGTTACTTAATTTTTAGGACTTAAAACTTAAGAATATTTTTCAAGGCTTTTACTTACCTGCTGAAGCTAGAGTAGGAGCTGTCACCACTAAAGAACCTCTTATATCTACTCTAGCAATTTCGGATATATACACTATAGCAGGAATACTTGACCAAGCTAAAAGTGTAAAGTAAAATTAATTAAGATGTACTTTTTTATAGTGTAATCCTTATAAAGTTCAGGGATTAAAACGTACTGTTGTAACAGTCTTAGTCTATACCAGCATGATGGGGTAATGACAATAATAATTTGTTACATATTTATACTACCTGTGCTATTTTCAACAAGTACAATACATAATTTCTTCCCATGTAAAAAAGCATAGTGAGAGCGTGGTAGATAACCTGAGTAATTTTGCTACTAAGTCTGCTTTGTTCCCTTATTCGTATCTACTCCATTATTCCATTAATATAACTTTTTTTCTAAATTTACCGTTTTTTCCTGACTTTTTCTTTCTGGTGCTCTTGTAAGTCCATCTCATACTCGCGTTTTCCCTAATCTAATCCTCGCATACAAAAACGTACGCAATACACATCAGTTTCCGTCATTGTTAAATCAAGTCACTACCAAGCCATGTTTTTAATTGTAGTAAATCACCAGATCCAATCAGCCATCCAGTGTTGGTCCTATTCTTGATTTCCCCTGTTTCTTTTGGTCTGTAACTGTTTGTGTGTCTCTCAGTTATCAAATATATATCTACCATAAATATATCAGTGGCACATTAGTCAACACTGCTACTTTATCTGTAAAGAACATATGTTAACCACTACATACCATGAGAAGTATCTTTTTCTGAATCCCTCTGATTTTGGAGCATTTTTTAAATGTAAAAACCTCCATCCATATTCGCATTAAAAATAATAATTTTCCAATCTATATTAAAACCAAACACGAATAATAGGCTAAAAAACTAAAACGCAACAGAAGATTTCTCAATAAAAAGAAAGTATAGCAAAGAAGCCTATTTTTTCAAATTTTGTTTAACCTTTACATAGAGAGATCACTCACAGAAAGAGTGGTAGACTTTAATAAGAATTTATACGTTTAACAACAACGTTAGATGACGTAAAAACACAGCGATACTGGCAGATAACATTAATGATCTTCAATGTCTTCTAAATGGTGTAACTCTCCCAAGTGGAGCTTTGGGTTTGACAATAAATATTAAAGAACGAAAACAATGATTATAAGAACTTTAATAGCTGATTATTTAACTGCAAATATAAATATAGCTGAAAAAAAAAGTCAGGCAGTTTAAATACTTGGATTATCTGCTAAATAATACATGGAATCCTGAGATGAAATAAAATGCAGAAGAGAACGGGTTAGAAATGCTTTCTTGAAATTGATAAGTTTTTGATTGATGGCTGACTGACACTTAATTGTTTCTTTAAATCGGTTTTGTTTTGCGGAATGGACGTTAAATGCCAGATCCATAACAAATTTGAAGCGTTTAATATGTGGTAGTTTTGTCGTACTGTTTTAAACTTTTTACTTCAAGAGCTTATGTCTACCGTTATAGTTTTTGTTCTAAATCGCTTTCAGTATTTCCTAATAATACTAAATTATTACTGAGTTACCTGTATTATTATATGATCCAAAAACTAATGAGAATGAATACGAATTTAGCACTAAACATTGATGCCATTATACTTTCACACAAAATTTTGTAGCGTTATAACTGCTACATTGCCTGCTTTCTTTCTTATGTTAATATATTTCGTTAATTCTATTCTCCAATTTCCATATCTTCTGTAATAATTCATATTCTTCTATATCCTCCATTGTATCTCTTATTTTTCTATATATTTTCGCAGATATAGATTGTATCAGAATTATGTCGTTACTTAATTGATTCATTATTCTCTTTTCATTTTTACTGGTATTTGATATAAAAACCAGTTGGCGTCCAAATCTATCTTCTTTATATATATATATATATATACATATATGTTTCTGTATCTACCTTTCCTATTTTCTTAATAATCATCATTTTTATCTTTTACTCAAGTTTCTAAAGAATGAATTTTATTTTCATCTATATTTCTGTTACTTTGGAATGAGAGGTGCCATCTTTATTCTCTGTTTAGTTTAATGCTAGTGACATTGTCATTGCATTGTTGGTTAACTGTCTGTCAAAGACTCCTTTTTGTTGACATTTCCCACTTCCCGTTCGATACAAAAGTCGATATAATGGCTTCTATTTCTAAAAATGTGGATTTTCTTCATGACTTCTGTAAAAGTACAATAACCAATTGTTGTGTCGTCTCCTGATTAGGAGTCAACCTCCGGGATACATTTCTCAGGTGCGGGTCAAATTCTATTAACATCCAGAAGACCAAGCGGCCTGAGAATGGCACTATCATTCCGATAGGAGAGTTGACTCCGGGGCAAGAAAATCCACAGCTAACAACATGGCTTGCTAACAACCAAAGCAGAAAAGACCAGGATAAAACCTAGGACTTGGTGACAAACATTTTTCTTTACTATAATGTAACACTGTAGCAAGAAGTCGAATAATTTTTATTTAAATTCAATATCATATTTAAACATTTATTTTTCTGTCATTTTTTTTTTAATATTTTAATAAACATGTGTTAATTTAACTGTGTATTGTTTCTTCTTTTTACTTGTTTGCGTGTGTTGCTCCAGAGTAGGCCATATTCACGTCCTGAGTGAGCTAGCCAGGGAATGTTTCGTATAAGGTCTAATGTAGCAATTTTGCAATTGATACATTAGGGGTTATGACGTTAAAAATTGGTCCCAACGGGAAACGATTTGTCGCTCCAACGTTGTTAGTGATGTTAGTCGGGTTGTTTGACACCCAATTGGCACCCAATGAATATTCGTTGGCACGTCATAGATTGATGTCCAATGAATGTTCGTTGGAACGTTACAATCTATTCGTTTCTCCTACACTAGTTGTTACTTTCTTATACATCGTCTCGTACAATCTTTAAAAACTCATCGGGAGCTCCATTCTTATTTAACGCCTATCACAGAATCTCTCGAGAAACTATTGTATTCTTTCATAAAATCAATAAATACCATGTAAGCAGGTACATAGCAAAAAAATTAAATACTTACGTGTTCCAAATCCAGTTAAAAATCTACCAACTAATATCTGAGGTATGCTTTGTGCACTTGCTATTAAACACCAACCTAGAATGGCAGGTAAAATAGACAGTTTAAGTGCCCATAGTCTCCCCCACATGTCAGCAGCAAATCCACAAGTTATAGAACCGAATGGTACAGCAATAACCGCAATACTAGCTAAAATATGTAGCAATTAGAAATGGCTTTAACAAAAATTGTAGTATGTTATGTGAAATCTTATATAGTAAAAATACATAATATTATCTACATAAAAATACCTTGCAAGGTTATTAAATGATCTATTGTAGTTAATAAGTATAAACTTTATTGTTTCGAGTTAAGGGTTTGAACCATGTCACTATTGCACGACTTTTGTCTCGATCTCGTTTTTTCGTCCGTCTCGGTCGTTTGTAGATGAATAAAAGGAACCCACAAATAGGTGGTCCAAAAAGACACGCTCTAAATCCAGCAGACGATGAGTTACTTCTTCTTTCATCGTTTCTTTACTTACTCGGTAAGGTGAAACGCATGCGTCGTTCGCTCACGACGTGGCGACTGTCACGGCATTCTTGAGCCAAGGACACGGAGTGACGTTTCATTGTGTTGTGCCGTTCGTCGGCTTCGTGGTCCCGCTTAGGCTTGCTGGATACCCTACTGGCGTTTGTGTGCTTCGTTTTGAGCGTCAACTTACCTCCAGTCTGATTCAATTCGAGGACACTGCCAGGCGAAGAGTTTGCCTGCGGCGGTACATCTGTCAAAGAATGCAGGTGTCTTAAGGCCAGCTCAGAGAGAACAGAAACCTCGCGTAAAGCAGAAGGGCAAAAGCTGGCTTAATCCTGATGTTCAGTATCCATAGAGACTGCAATAGTACTGCCTATCGATCATTTTTGCTTAAGGAGTTTTCAGCAAGAGGTGTTGAAAACTTACCACAGGGATATCTGACTTGTCGCGGCCGAGCGTTCATAGCGACGTCACTTTTTTATCCTTTGATGTCGTCTCTTCCTATCATTGCGAAGCAGAATTCGTCAAGCGTTGGATTGTTCACCCATAGACACGGAACGTGAGCTGGGTTTAGATCGTCGTAAGACAGATTAGTTTTACCCTACCGATGACTCGTCGTTGCGATAGTTGTCCTGCTCAGTTCGAGAGGAACAGCAAGTTCTGACATTATACCTGAACGCCTCTAAGGCCGCATCCTTTCTAGTCAAAGGTGGCAACGATATCTATTGAAGTTCCGAGAGTCGAAAAGCTCAAAACAATGTGACTTTACTAGGTAATTGTAGTTCGCTACGATTGTTTCACGAGCCCTCATTTCCGTTGAGATTATCGGTTTACGATGGGATCGATACTTGCAAGCAGACCAGATCTTGTGGTATTATAGTTTTGATGGATATTATAATCTTTTTGTTGTTGGAACACGGAAGTGTCTGTTGAGTTAATAGTTAATATTCTTCTGATCGAACATATATCTTCAAAAATCATATATGAATCATAAATTTAGGACTAATTTATACATCTTGATGTATAAATTCCAGGACATCATTTTTTTTTCATCTGCACCATCAAAGACCTTAGTTTTATATCAACAGGTGAACCAACCCATTGGTAAACAGACATGAACAAAATTCTTGATCTGGTTGACATTGAAGAACAAAAAAACATATACCAAAAGACCTGAATAACTACAAAGAAATTCAGAAAAACATCAGAAAGAAAATCTAAATCTAAATGACAAAAAAGAGGTGGCACTTCGAAGTTCGAAAGATGCAAAGAATAGAAGATGTGGATAAAAAATGTGATAGCTTTAATTTACACAAAAAAATCAAAGAAATAACAGGTTCTAGAAAAAGCACAAGAACGAATATCCTTAAAAATGATAAAGGAGATATAATATGGAGGACTCCATGTAGTTCTTGTTATCTACTGTCTTGTATCAAAGCTTCACTCTTTGCCTTTAAAACGTGTGTTGATTTTTGTCGATAGAACATTTTTGGATCAAAAGATGTGGATATGGATTAAAAAAGATCGAATGTTTACTGTCATGTTGATACAAGTTTTATTAAACATTGATTTCGCGTAAGTAACTGACATGCAAAATTGACGGTCACTTCAAGCGTTGTTTCTAGGAAAATGGTTCATTCTATACAAAAAATGCTTATAAACATTTTTGTTTAAAATTATCTCAGCTACATTTTTTATTTGAAACATTTTTTTCTACGGTGTATAAAATTCTTGGTAAATCGATTTTTTTTGTGTTTTTACCTCCCTGCCAGGGGGTTTTTAGGGGAAAGCCGTGAGTAAAAGTGGTACTTTTTTTAACCTTTTTGAGGTCCCAAAATTAATATTGTCTGCAAAATTCAGCTTGTTCGAATAATTTTTAGGGCTCAACTCTCTGACGACTGGATTATACTTCGGTTTGGTTTTAAACGATGCATTACCTCTTCAAATCTTCAGCTCACTTAAAAGAATGAAATAGTTCAATGCCAAAGTTAGGAGAAGCTGTTTTAAGTGTGGCAAGATCTTTCTGGTTAGATGCTCATAATGAATTCGGGGGGATAGCTAATTAAATTCTGTAGAGAACAAGAACACCAAAATACCTTTATAAATTATAAATTATACGTATTTACACTTAGTGTGAACACGTAGAAAAATCTGGAAATGATTAAAAACAAATATAGAGTTCTCCATACATACACTCCTCAAACCGGACCGAACAAAGATGGCTAAAAGATTGGAAGGCTGAGAAAATTTTAAATTTTATGGAGAAATAAATACTGGTCATAAGAATTTGTCGTGAATAAGAAGAAGAACTTACCTACCCATGCTGATTCTGGTTTTGTTGCATACAATTCCCCATCGTAATCTGTACCATTTTGGCGAGTTTTATCTAATGCTGGTATTAAAATGCCGGAAAATGCCATTGAAAGCCCTACTGATATGTGTAACGATACTGCCATAAATGTAGCAGAAATCTACAAATGAATTACGTCCATCTAAATTTACTGTAAAATGCAATAACTTTATTAAATACAAAGTACATACTTGGTATTAGATAAAATATTACAAATGTTGGATATTGGATTGTAGATACATATAATTTTCTTACCTGTGGTAACAATGTTCTAAAGGTTTTGGCATCATACCTACTGAGGGACTTACAACTTACTATTATCTCTTCAAATTGTGCATCACGCTTTCTTTTCTTCATATATTTGTTTGGCATTTTCTTGCATGCTAAAAGTACAATAAATATATTATTTACAATATAGGTACAATATTATTTCAACTTTATTAAAATGCAAATTAACTAAATCTAAGTTAGTAGTGTTCATAGAACAGATATTAGTGATAACATTAATCTAGAATTTATTTTATGTCATACTAGTTTATTATTGTGTTTTTGTTACTTAGTTACCAACTACGTAATAGTGTATTTTATGCCCGCGCGGGCATAAAGTGTATTTTATGACCCGCACGGGCGTAAAGATTCAAACAAAAAGATATCTTTATTATGTAATATTATATAATATTAGATATATAATAATTTTTTATTAACTTAATTTTTGATATACCTTGTCGTAGGCATATCTCGACTTATGTGCTTTAAAATTTGGTTAACTACAATATTATCGCAACAACTCGAACACTATTAGAATGTCTATTAGTAAGTATATTGTCAAAATGAAATCGAATTTTTGGATTTTTTAGAATATACTTATTTATTTGTAGATGCCCTCGGGTTTGTAACATCATTACCCTCTGGGCATAAACATCTATTTAGTACAGTATTTATAAAGTCAGTTGAAACACCCAAAAACCTGCTTGCCGACAAACAATAAAAGAATAATATTATATTACCAGACATGGGCGCATCATTTATTTTTATAATCAAATATATATTAATGTAGAACAGAAAAAGGACAATTTTAATTTACATAAAGCTGTCGTAAAGTACATAAGTGTATAAAAAAATTTTTAACATATAATATTAAGCAACAAAAATAATTTATAATTAAATGGCAATATTCTATATTGACAGTATAATGATTTAATTATACTTCGTAAAATAATAAACATTTTTGCTGTACAGCACTGGCATGCATCGGCAGCGTTTCTTATCTGTACCCTTCGCCACCGGCTAGAAGGGGACCTCCAAGTAGCATGTTAAATATTGGTGATTTTGAATAACATATCAATGTCCAATATTTATTTGATGGGATGTATCATTCATTCGGGGAAAGTACGGGGATTGTTCAAATACGTTTGAAAGATTGACGCGTGTTATTTATACTTTAACTTGATTACCGGTAAATGTAATATTGAACTGCCCGTATAAATCGAGTCGGAGAGAAATGTTTCAACTGACTTTATAAATACTATACCCTTGGTACATAAGCTATTATATCATCAAAAAATAAAACAGAGAAATTGTGTATCTTTTGTTCTCATTTTGCCAAGCCATCGGCGTAGATCTTTAAGGCAGGAATTCTATCTTCTTCCTATTCACCTCTTCCTCCCAATTTTATCACATCAGCTCATTGTTCTTCTGCAAGAACTTCCGCATTTGTTACTATTTTCGTCCAGAAATTGCGCAAAATTCTCCTATTTTGATCGCTAAGAGTCTAACAGGAATGGATTTAAGCGTTTTCATTTCAGTTGTCATTCAGCTTCTTGATTATAGCTGTTTTCGCTCTGGTCTTGATCGTATAGGTCTTTGCTAGTCTTACGGAGATCCTACGTATTCTCACTTTACTTCAAGCTAGTCTGCTTGTTCATCCAGATGATGTCACGTAGCCTATATATTATTGCTGCTCTGTTAGTCTGTCCTTTGACTTCTTCCTTGAGGTTTCACTACTGGTAATGTTGATTTCTAGATATTTGAAGGTTATAACTTTCTTAACATTTTGGTGATTAGCCGCTAGTTTACATCCCTTAGGTTGTAAGTTAATCGTAAGTGACTGTCCTTTCAATAAATGTAATCATAATAATTTTTTCTGCAATGTTTTGGAACCTGTATGGTAATCACTGTAGATTATCTTCATCTTCCCATGTAAGTACTAAATCATCAACATAGCAGCATCTTAAAGAAATCCAAAATTAAGCTGTGTCTAAATCAGTACCTATACTTACACTTAACTTATGACTACAGTACAGCAATAACTGCAATAAAATTTGATAATATAACCTAAAAATAATATATGAAACAGAATAAATGCTATATAAATAGTCCGATCTTAAAATTAACAAAATATAACTACAGATTTAATATCATCATCAACTTTTAATACATAATACTCACACAAAACAAAGCTACAACACTAGATAAGATTGTGATAAGAAAATAGGATTCTAAATATCAATAGCGATGACTTCATTTACTACTTTTACCAATAACTACTTACAAATAAAATTTAGCCAGTGTCTCCTATACCTGTTCTAACACTAGTTATTATTTGTTTATCCATACCTCTTATAATCTTCTGCTAGTGATCAAAAGCCCCTTTTTCATTGATTAACCCAGAACCAGTCGAGGTAACTTATCTCACGGTTTCTCAATATTAATTGTCTGCGCAGCTGTACAGACCAAGTTCTAACACTGACTAACTATGTAGAAACAGATTTTTAAAAACTACAACTTAAACCAAAAATATTTACTGTTTTCAGTTTGCAGAAAGATCACTGTTGACATCAATGCTATACTAAATAGATGTTTCCCAAATGAAGCTGAACAATGGCCTTCCGCAAGAATCGCTGCTGTTCACTCTACTCTTTAGTCTTTATGTAACAGTCATGCCCGAAACCACATCAAAGAAGTTTGGATATGTGGACGACTGGGCGCTTGCTCCGATGCATAAAGAATTTTGGACTACAATGCAAATTTTAACGATCTGGTTACCGTAGCAATATATTTTCATCATGTATCATGCTTTCGTTTTAATAACAGACTAACCAACTACCAATTAAAAATCTGTAGCGTTATAACTGCTACATTGCCTGCTTTCTTTCTTATGTTAATATATTTCGTTAATTATATTCTCCAATTTCCGTATCTTCTGTCATAATTCATATTCTTCTATAACCTCCATTGTATCTCTTATTTTTCTATACATTTTCTCGGATATAGATTGTATCAGAATTATGTCGTTACTTAATTGATTCATTATTCTCTTTTCATTTTTACTGGTATTTGGTATAAAAACCAGTTGGCGTCCAAATCTATCTTCTTTATATATATATATATATATATATATATATATATATATATATATATATATATATATATTAGTATCTACCTTTCCTATTTTCTTAATAATCATCATTTTTATCTTTTACTCAAGTTTCTAAAGAGTGAATTTTATTTTCATCTCTATTTCTGTTACTTTGAAACGAGAGGTCCCATCTTTATTCTCTGTCGACATTTTCCCCTTCCCGTTCGATACAAAAGTCGATATAAATGGCTTTTATTTCTGAAAAGGTCGATTTTCTTCATGACTTCTCTAAGAGTAGAATAACCAATTGTTGTGTCGTCTCCAGATTTGGAGTCAACCTCCGGGATACATTTCTCAAGTGTGGGTCAAATTCTATTAACATCCAGAAGACCAACCGTCCTGAGAATGGAACCATCATTCCAATAGGAGAGTTGACTCCGGGACAAGAAAATCCAAAACTAACCACATGGCTTGCTAACAACCAGAGAAGAAAAGACCAGGATAAAACTTAGGATTTGGTGACAAACATTGTTCTTTCATATATCTAATGTAACACTGTAGCAAGAAGTCGAATAATTTTTATTTAAATTCAATACGATACTTAACATTTATTTTTCTGTTTTTTTTTTATATTTTAATAAACATGTGTTAATTTAACTGTGTATTGTTTCTTCTTTTTACTTGTTTGTGTGTGTTGCTCCAGAGTAGGCCATATTCACGTCCTGAGTGAGCTAGCCAGGGAGTGTTTCGCATAACGTCTAATGTAGCAATTTTGTAATTGATACATTAGGGGTTATGACGTTAAAAATTGGTCCCAACGGGAAACGATTTGTCACTCCAACGTTGTTAGTGATGTTAGTCAGGTTGTAGCAGCAAACTAAGGTTTGCGGTTACAGGTTGACAACAGCAGCTCAACGTTGGGATGTTACAAATTGAGCCTCGAAGGGTTACAAATTGGCACCCAATGAATATTTGTTGGCACGTCATAGATTGACGTCCAATGGATGTTCGTTGGAACGTTACAAATCCACTTTGAAGGTAGATTCCTCAGCCACATTTAACACACAAAATACTTAACTGTGACACTCGATAGAAGGCTAAGTGTCTGAAGCCCATATATTTCAAATTTTGAGCAAATTAGCGCAACAGTGCCCAAACGGTAATTTTGTAAATTATTTCATGTGATCAACACGTTTTTTATTTTTATCAAGAGTTTTAAGATGTTTTATTCAACAAGAAATTCACAGCAGCACAAATATATAGTCCAACATTTCATGAGTTCTTGTGCATGCTCTTGTCAGTGAGTATAGAAAAATGAATGCCGATCCCGTGCTCTATTCTCATTTAAGTATCATCGGTAGAGACATAAAAAGGCGTCGCTCAAGAAACAACCCTTTAGACTCAAAAATTCTAATTGAAAAAAACTTCAAGCCAAGAATTGGAGAAGAATGCACCACCTGCCACCCGGAATATGCTATGTATTATAAACAAGCCAGAGGGATTCGACAAACCAAGATAAATATATGCCAAACTTAACAGAATAGCAACGAACTGTGACAGGTGCTTCGATTCACTTTCAAGATGGAGAAAGATACCCTCCCTTTTTGTTGCTGAAAGGCACATGGTTAAACATCTGGTTAAGGAACGTCAGATCAGATCCCACAATGGCAATCCATCTGATTTCTTAGTTGCGACCAAAGAGTCAATTAAACATAATTTTCAACTCAATGTTTGTTATTAAAAATGAATTATTGATATTTCCTGCTTATAATGTTTATACAAGAAATTAACAGTGGTGTAGCCGTACGGTAATTAAATAAAATCAAGATTAATTAATATTATACAAGCTTTTTCCTTAATTTTTGTATAGAGATACTAATACGAGTATACTACTGCTCCACTTATCTGTTATGTGTTTCACTTTCATAAGCAAACCAGTTCAAACGAGTTTTAGTCAAGTTATCCTTTCACCGTGGTTATTACTGTCTGCGTTAGTGCTGTTGATTTTTTGTCAAATTCTTTGATTACTAAACT